TAAAATTAATTTCATTTAATAAACTATTGATCGACTCAACTTTAAAGAATACTAAAGAAAAGATTTTAATAGAGATTTAGTTCTATGAACACAATTTTGAATTTTAGCTAAAGCATTGGTCACACTTATTTAGAACCACATTTTAACATCAAATTAAAACGTATTTAAAAATAAAATTATGTGTGACCATAACTAAGTTGCCGAAATATATTTTTCTACTTTTTTCATATCAGGCTGTTTGGACAAGTCCCATTCAATAATCAATACTTTGTCCCATTCAATAGGCTTCCCACTATATCCACAAATGACAGGACAGGTTAAAAACAGTAATACCTAAACAAAAATACTTTACAAATTTAAAAAGTAGAGACATTTGGGTGTTGAAAATTGGAGTTTCATTTTCCTTAACTTTAGTAATCGCTGCAAAATCAGACACAGAAAATTGTTTTAAAAAATTACTTATTGTTCTTCAAAACACAATAACATCCAATGCCATTACGTTTAGACCATAATAGAAATAAAGATCTGGTCTGTTGAATGGTTGTGTCAAACACTTATTACCACAGGAGTTTGGATAGCCAACCGTAGATGCTTCTATGCAAATTTGATTTTGTCCCATTCAATAATTGTCGCATTCATTAAGGTTCTCCCCTACTATATTTTTAGTTTTATAAAGTCTAATACGAAGCCTAGAAAAAACTTTTCGACTTTTTTTTGTGACGGTCGTAACGCATTAATTTGATAAATATATTCATATTCTATACATAGTTGGAGTGCGTTTTTATAAAAAATGATTTACATAATGTTTATTTATGTTTTTAAGTTAAACTTAGAAGTAATAGTTACTTAAAAACGCAGCATTGAAACCTTTTTTAACGCTTCACAATAGGACTATATAAAAACGTCAAAAAACGTTTATATAACCCTTACAACTTCAAAGCCATGCTATGGTATGATAAAATAACTTTTTAAATAACTTTTTTGCTTAAAAGTATTTTTAAATAGTTAAAAAAAGAGCTTATTGAGGTTAGTCTTTCTAACTTTTTTGTGTCTTTCTAACTTTTTTTTTTTTTTCCTCTTTCTCGCGGAATTGCCCATATATATATATATATTAAGACAACAAAAATTGATTATAGAAATTATAAACATTACCTATAATTTTTTAATAAATTAAAGCTCGAGAATAAATTGAGAGCTTTCAGTTCATAAGGAAGGTTGTTCCAAGTTTTAGTGCTTTGATATTTTATGGATTTATGCCAGTAATTATGAGAGCGGTGTTTGGAGACAGACAGGTTTAAATTACTATCGGAACGAAGGTGATAACGATTGTTGGCACTTTTGGAAAAGAAATAAATGAAAGTTAAAGGTAGGTTATTGTGCTGGTGGTTCCAGACAAATTGACAGTTTAAAAGTTCAATATAGTCACATAGTTTTAATACTTTAGAAGTTAGGTAGAACACATTAGAATTAAATTTAATATTCTGAAAATGAATAACTTTTAAAGCCTTGTTTTGGAGGTGGGATAATCTAATAAGAGCTTGTTGATGGGACTGCCCCCATACTTGGCATGCATATCCAAGATGTGAGCCAAAAATAGCATGGTATATGTTCAAGAGTGTCTCAAAATTAACATAATGGCAAATTTTGGCCAGCATACCATTAGATCTACATAGTTTCAAGTCTTTACAGTGGGATAGAAAGGAAAGATTTGAATCGATTTTTATACCAAGATATTTAATTGAGTTAACAGGTTCAATTTTTTTGCCACTTAATCTAAAGTTCATATGTTTATAGATTTTTGTTTTATTCGATTTGAAGATAATAAGTTCAGTTTTATTAGAGTTTAGAAAAAGTTTGTTGGAGCGAAGCCACTGAACTAGATTGGCAAGATCATGGTTAATGTGTTTGTTTATTTTTTTAAGGGATTTATTAATTAGTATTAGATTAGTATCATCAGCAAAATGGTAAACAGTAGCAAACTTAATGGATGTATGAAGATCATTAATATAAAGAAGAAAAAGCAGTGGTCCTAATACTGAACCCTGAGGAACACCATTAGAACATTTTACAAGGGTAGATTTTGAGTCATTAATAGAAACAAATTGTGTTCTTTTGTTTAAATATGTAGTGAACGATTTAAGCGGTACGCCTCTGATCCCATAATATTCTAATTTTTTCAACAAAATTGAATGATTCACTGTGTCAAACGCTTTATGTAAATCAACAAATACACCACATGCAAAATATTTATCATCAAGTGCTTTTCTAATTAGTTTAGTCATTTAAGTAAATGGCGAGCACAAGAAAGAGAAGCAAATTTAGGGGATGCTAATTTAGCAAGTATATATGGTTTCAGCATAAAGATCAGTAGTAAATGATAATCAAAGAAGATATAAAGAAGTGAGAAGTTTGCCATTCATTAAATAGGAATGTTGAGAGCATTGCGATAATTGTTTGCAGTAAATAACTGAGTTTTGTTGCAGTTAAAATTTACAAGCCACTGCAAGCCCCAACTTTTGGCTGCCTGTTCTAAGCGATTGAAAAGAAAAGACCTTTTGTCAAGACAGGAATACAAGGTTGAGTCATAAGCAATAAGAGATAGTATAGATGTAAGGTTGTCAGGAAGATCATTTATTTAGAAACAAAAAAGGACCAAAGATAGAACCTTGAGGTACCCCAGAAGTTACTGAAAATGAAGAAGAGTGTTGGGGTTCGAGGATGACTTTAATAAAGCGAATTAGAAAGAATTTGATAATCTCAAAAACTTTTTCAGACACACCATATGAAGCAAGCTAATGGAGAAGCAAGCTTATGGAGAACCAAGCTTATGGAAAAGCAAGCTTATGGAGAAGCAAGCTTATGGAGAAGCAAGCTTATGGAGAAGCAAGCTTATGGAGAAGACCATGTTGAACTTTATCAACAGCTTTAGACATGTCAAGAGCAATAACCCTAGCCTCACTGCCTCCATCTAATGCACAATAAAATCTCAGTTTTTAAAATAATAATAATGATAATAATATTATATATATAATTATACAATAATAATTAAAACTTTTTTTTTTTAAATTTATTATGACTATTACTTATTTATAATTTTTTAGTAAATATATAAGAAAATGTGTTTACTATACAATTTTTGCTTTTTTTCTCAAACAGGTAATAATTTGCATGCACATAAATTAATTGCACAAAACTGTTTTATTGGTAATTTGTTATGAAAATGAATGTTTATAATTTTTTGATTTATATAACATCAATTTTATTATCGACTTTGTATTTCTAGAACATTATTTTTAGCAATTAAGAAAATTTTGGAAGAAAAAGACATTAAAAACTCTGTTTATTGTACAGTATGGCACCCAAAGGTAAATATTTAAATACTACTCAACAAAAACTTGTTATAGACTTGGTTAAACAAGGAAATACTTATAAAAAAGTTGAAGAACTTACAAATATTCCATTTACAACAGTAGGAGCCATTGTAAAGAAATACCAACAATATGAAACATTTGAAATTCATACTGGACCAGGGCAAAAACGGAAGACAAGTTTAAGAGACGATAGAGAAATTTTAAGAATGATAAAAAAAAATCGGTTTGAAACTGCAAAAAATATAGCAAATCATTTGAAACACTTAGCAGGAAACACAATCTCACTTACATCAATTAGAAATCGTATTCATAAAGCAGGGTTCAGTGGATGTATAGCTCGTTCTAAAGTTCTTTGGTCTGATGAATCAGTTAAACATGGCGGTGGAAGTGTAATGTTATGGGGTTGTATGGCATGGAATGGTGTTGGTAATTGTATGGCATGGGTTGGTGTTGGTTTATTGATGAAACTATGAATGCTGATTTGTATAAAAATATATTGAAACGAAATTTAAAATCTTCTGCTAAAAAGCTTAGATAGGGAAATACTTTTTTGTTTCAACAAGACAATGATCCAAAACACACTGCTAAAAAAACTAAAAGCTTTCTCAATGAAAATGGCATAAACGTTTTAGAATGGCCTTCGCAGAGTCCTGATATGAATCCAATAGAGCATTTATGGACTTTATTAGAAAATTAGGTTCTAGATTAATATAAAAAAAGAAGATTTGAAGAAAGCCGTTATTAAATCACGGCCTAACATCAACAATAATAAAATTAAGTGTCTAGTAGAATCAATGCTAAAACAGTTGTTAGATGTAATTAAAGCAAAAGGAGGACCAACTAAATATTAAAGTATATTATTAAAGTATAAAAACTTGAAACTGTTTCTCAGTTATTTTAATAAACTGGTATTTTTTCTTAGCTTTAACCTATAACCTATCCCCTTCTTCATTTTAAAATTCCTATGTAGAGAGAGAGAGAGAGAGAGAGAGAGAGAGAGAGAGAGAGAGAGAGAGAGAGGAGAGAGATAGACAGAGACAGAGACAGAGAGAGGATAGCAAAGATAAGTTACAAATGTACAAAGTCAAGAGGAAAATTAAGAGTCTCCAAGAAAGAAACTTTTTTTTTGATATATGCTCATAATATATCTGCTAAAGTTGCCTACTTCAAAGTTTTATAAACTTTAAATAGACTGTTGTTTTTTGGTTGATTATTGTAATAATATTTACATTTAAAGAAATTTAAAGAAATTTAAAAAGAATACTAAAATGAAAAAAAAAATGCAGGAAAATTAAACACTTATCATATTTTTTTTATTTATTTTCATGTTTATTCACCTCCCCAAGATAATCAAAGCCATAACAACCCTCTGTAAACTCTATAACTCTAAAACACAAACCTTAAAGAACAAGTACTATTTGTTTGAACTACCAGGGACATGGTGGGGATCTCTCACTACACTATTGCTGCATTATAAAAATAGTATATAAATAATTATATATATATATATATATATATATATATATATATATATATATATATATATATATATATATATATATATATATATATATATATATATATATATATATATATATATTAAAGAGTATAAAATTAATGCAAACTTGCCAGATACTTGCAAATATCTTCCAGCATGCTCATTTAAACCAGAAACAGACCATTCAAAAACTTTTTTTAAAACATTTCCAGTTATGAGGGCAATCTGTGCTGTGTTACCAAACGGAAGAACTGTGTAAATATCTTCTAAAGTGATCGTTTCTAAATCAAAAAAATATTTTTTTAATAATAAAATCAAAATAAAAAAATTTAAATTATAAAATAATTTATAAAAATATTTATAGTATATTTACATAGATATATATATATATATATATATATATATATATATATATGCATAGTATACATGCATACATATATATATGTATGCTATGATATATACCTATATGTATATATCTTTTTTGTTTTTTTCACCTCCCCAAGGCCGAGAAGGTCACTACAGACGAGGAAAAGGAAGGAAAAAAAAAACAATAATGAAATAAAAGATTTGCTGCCCCATGCCAAACCTCTTTTTCAATGTAGTAGCACTCCTTTGTGGCAGTAGGCATCGAAATTCAAACCAAAAATTATAACTATAACAAATGGTTTCGAAAAAAATTAGCAAAAACCTGTTTTTTTGATGCAATCGTCTTTTTTTTAATTTTTAATTAAGTTATTATACAGTAAGAGGGGTAAAAGTGGAATAAAATAAATAATTTTACCCCTTTTTCTGTATAAAAAGTTACCTAAAATTTTAAGGTAACTGTGTCAAAAAAACAGGTTTCCACTGATTTCTTTTGGAATATTTTGTTATATTTTTAGAGATTCTGTGGGTTTAATAAAGAAAATAGTAAATTAAACCTGACGGATGCGAAGGAACCTAAATTATTAACGACAAAACTTCTTTTTCTGTGTAATAATTTAGTTAAAAATGAAAAAAAATCTACTGCGTAAGTACCCAAACCCTAACCCATAACCTAAACCCTAACCCATAACCCTAACCCTATAGCATAGGTATAAATTATTTAATATAGTTAGTCAATGTATGTACTGAAGCCCCTGGCAGAAGACTTTTTCAGTGTGACGTCAGAGATGTTAACTAAACATGCATTCATAGTTGAATATATGACATACCTGTAATGATATGACTGTAAACTCACAATTACAAAAAATTAAAGTTCAATACACTTTGGTATTAATATTTTTACCTTTATTTAATCAAAATTTAAATAAAAAAATTAAATTTAATTAAACATTTAAGTATGTCTTGACCTCCATCAATTGATTTGCAAATTTAGTGTATAATAATGCATTTCTCTTGGTATTTAATTTACAGGGTTTTAACCAATGATGTAATAATACAACTAGATATGTGACTAGCAGCTTTTTGCATATAACTTAGTGAAGCCAGCGTCCCATTTTGCGGTACGGCAAACACATTAGACGCGACTATAAAAACATAGAGAACTATTTATATAAATAATAATTAGTCATGAAATTTTTACAATTAAGCATCTATAGAGAATTAATTTTTACTATACTTTCATTTATATATATATATATATATATATATATATATATATATATATATATATATATATATATATATATATATATATATATATATATATATATATATATATATATATATATATATATATATATATATATATATATATATATATATATATATATATATATATATATATATATATATATACATATACAACCCTCTGAACTGGGATTGGCATTTCAACCTTGTTTATTTGTTTTATGGTAAGACCTTTATGTCAAATTTTTTTTGCCGACCTGATGCCAATCTCTAAAAGATTGAGGTTTTTTCCTACTCCAATGGTTGATATATATATATATATATATATATATATATATATATATATATATATGTATTCCTACATGTGCCTAGCACTACTTGGAGATCTATTTTTAACCCTTCTATCCAACTCGTCCCAAACTAGCTCAATTAGTGACAAATCAGGTGATTGGGATGGCCATATCATAATTTCTATAAGTTTTTCTTGTTTTTTCTCATTTAAATAGGACATACAGAATTTTGAAGCATGTTTCGGATCATTATCCTGTTGAAATATGAAATTTGATCCAATAATTTCATTTCCAGAAGGCAAAGCGTGGTCCTGCAAAATTTGTAAATATCCTTCTTTGTTAAGTTTGCCATCTATTTTTACTAATTTTCCTGGCTTATTATTTCCAAAACATCCCCAAACCATTACATTACCTCCGCCATATTTAGTTAGTGGCACTGTACACTCTGACAGAGCCCTTTCATTCTTGGATCGTCGGACAAAGACTCTTTTGTTTGAACCGAAAATTTGAAATTTCGATTCGTCCGTCCAAAGTACATTTTTCAAGTGTCCAATCTTTATGAGTTTTAGCCCAAGCCAACCTGTTTTTCTTATGTTGTTTTGTTAATTTCGGTTTTTTAGCTGCTACACATCCTTGGAGCAGAGTTCAATCGTCTTTTAACTGTTGAAACTGACACTGTACTTGGACGAATTTCATTTAATGCAATTTGGGGGGCTGTTAAACGACGGTTTCGCTTTGAAGTTAATTTTATAAATTGATCTTCATTTACTGTTGTAATTTTGGGTCTCCCACTACGTTTCCTGTCTTGATTACTGTTGGTTTCTAGTTGCCTTTTTGATGTATAATGAACCCCTTTTGCAGAAACACCCAGTTTTTTGCAATTTCTCTCTCACTATACCCTTCACCTCTAAGTGTACAAATTGCACTTCGTTTATCAATTGTTAACTGTGATCATTTTGCCATTATGAAAAAAATAATAATATTAATTTGTCTAAAAACACCACTCGACTATAATTGGTTTAGCGCACTGTTATTAAAAATATAACTTATCGGTCTGCTAGTAAATAACTGACTGAAAGATGTTTACTTATAACTTTGGTAACATAATTTTACCGATTTCATGTTCAGACAGGTTCAGACGTGTTTGTTTTGTTTATTAGATAAAATAATAGTGTATATATCTTATACTGCTGAGTTAGGTGAGCATGATGATGTCATACTCACCTAACGTCAAATAGCCTGCTGCCGGGGGCTTCAGTACATACATCGACTGACAAATAGCCTGACTCGCAGTGGAGTGCTGCTACATCGACTGAGGGTTTGGTATGGGTCAGCAACATTTTCATTCATTATTCTTCGTTTTCCCTCATCGTTTTCTAAAAACGCTCACTTAATTTAGGCAAGCAAAAAAAGTGAGCCATTGCGCATATAAATATGCTATAGTAGATATATATATATATATATATATATATATATATATATATATATATATATATATATATATATATATATATATTTATATATAAATCTATGAGGGTGTTACATCCACCCCCTATATTCTAAAAAAGATCTGTTCATATTCTTAACACCTTCTATTGGTTCTTACAAGCAACTTTATTAAATTTCAAATTTTTATTGGATTTGGGGGAGCACCAGACCATTGAACACTTACCAGGTCCCTAATATTATAAAAAAAATTTTGTTTTTCAAAAGATGTTGTAGTCATGGAGCTCAAATAAAAAGTCATGGAGCTCAAAATAAGCAAAATTATATAAAAATTTTAAAAATAACAATCATTTTATAAAAAAAATTTTATTTAAGGTTTTTTTTTAATAATTATTAAAAAAATACACTTTTTTCATTTTTAGGTTAAAAAAGGTCATTTTTTTTACAAAAAATTCTCACTCTCTCTCTCTCTCTCTCTCTCTCTCTCTCTCTATATATATATATATATATATATATATATATATATATATATATATATATATATATATATATATATATATATATATATATTAGGCTGCTTTATTTTGATGTCAAAAATTAAAAGTACCATAAAGTCTTATCTGCTATGTAGACCCATAATTTATTAACAGAGTTTTTTTTATTTTGAATTTGGAACACTTTTAGGGGTTGCTCAAGCGCCTCAAAAGTCATATAATTTAGACTTTTGAACCTTTTTTGGACCATTTTTGGTACGTTTGAGCAAGTTCTAAAACTGGAAAAAAAATTCTTTTAAAAGAACCAAATAAAAATGCATGGTAGTTTTATTTATCGGAAATTTATATATAAATTTGTCTACAAAATCACAAATTTATGTGATTTTTTCCGATTTGAACAAAATTTGGTTCTAAAAAAAAAGTAGCTCAATAACTTGATATCTGAACTTGTTAGCACTTAGATTTAATTTGTAGCAATTTAATCTCAATAAGAATTTTTCTTGTTTTCTAACAATCAACAAGTTCTTTAAAATTTGCTGATTGCTTGATTCTATGATATATATCTCTTATTCATGAAATTATATATCTGTACCGGTTTTATATATTTTTATGCAATTGGATACAACAATTAAAATTAATCAAAAAATGTAAAATGCAAAAGAAAACTTGACGCAAAAAGGTTTACTTTGCCACAAACCAACATCAATGCGCAAAATTTTTTGGCTTGAAAATATTTTTTATTAGCGTTAATTATTCTTTAGTTTTTAATAATAATCATTAGAATGCACTTTTTTTTATGACTTTATTTTATTTTAGCGGTCTAAGATATTCTTAGCTCCATTTGTATAGTGCTATGTACAAACGTTTGCAAGTGTAAATGTCTTTAGCATATGTTGAGTTTGCATGCATTATATAGAGATAATAGCGTATAATATATCTATAAAATGAGAAAACTTTAAAAATTTATTTTAAATTTTAGAAACCTTTTTTGCTACATTATTATTTTTTTGTTATAAGCATATAAGCTTTATAAAAAAAACTTCAAAATTTATATATACATATATATATATATATATATATATATATATATATATATATATATATATATATATATATATATATATATATATATATATATGTATATATACATATATATATATGTATATATACATATATATATATATACATATATATATATATATATATATATATATATATATATATATGTATATATATGTATATATACATATATATATATATATGTATATATATATATATATATATATCTATATATATATATATATATATATATATATATATATATATATATATATATATATATATATATATATATATATATATATATATATATATATATATATATATATATATATATATATACAATTTACAAAATTTTCTTATATATTTAAGAATATTTTGTTACCATTTCTTTTTTTTGATATAGATGACCTCAAGCCACCAGCATTCCATATAGAGGCATCAGGTGTCTCAAAAGATATGCCATTACTACTTGTGTTTAATTTCATAACAGCATCAGCTACCAAATTTCCCAAATTGCAGTCCTGAATTCTGCACAATGGTTTTACTCCATTTAAATAAACTAATGTTGTTCCAATAGGTATCTGTATAAATTTAAATTAACATAAGTATATTAACATAAAATACATAAAACATCATACACCTAAAATAAATACAAAGAATATAATATACTAGTCTATCTTTCATTCCCTTTTTCATTTTTTCAACCATTTCTTTAACCAAGGGATCTTCAGCCACAGAATGATCAAGGAGTATTGGGTTACCTGACCACGTTGTAGCTACTCCATTATCATTAAAAACTACATCAAGCTTTCCGAGGTACTTTCCAAATGTAAATGCTTGTACTATCAAAACCTTTGATCCATCTGACCTGTTAAAAACATATGGATAAGGACCATCAGCAGGATCAATTGATGGTGGTTTACCTAAAATTATTTAAGTACTTTTACTTAAAGTTAAACCAGACCTGATACTTTGTAAAAACTTTCTAAAAAAATTTATATTAAGATATTTTTATATTTTTATCCTATTTTTATAGGAAACTTTTTATATTTAGTTTTTTTATAATAGCTTTATTTTCTAAATAAGTTTTGTAAGATAAAACCATTTTTTTTTTAAACTTCTATTAAAAAATTATTTTTTGTGCTGCTCCAACCCGCTTGATTTAATATTAACAAAAAAGCTTTGTAGAAGTAAAGTTACTATTTGGTGTTTACTTATGTTACTTGGTTTTTACTTAGTCTTTAGCCTTGAAAAAAAAAAAAAAAAAAATTCAGAAATAATAATTGCTTTAAATATGTAAAAGAATTTTTAATTTTATTGCAGAAAAATACTTAAACAAATCTTTTTGTGTATGTCTGTGTGTGTAGTAAATTTTGACCCCTTCACTCTTTTCACACCCTGAATAGTATTATTTATTTAGAATATATAGAACATAGTATGAAACAATCATAATATGCTGCCAGATCCACACATAAAAAAAAACGTTATAAATCATGAATAGAAAATTGGATACAATTTATGTTTGAAATTATTTGCTTAAAAACAGGATTTAAAAACATTCAATAACATTTCTGTTATGCATATTGTTTTCATTTTTATTTACCACTAATACAAAAAGTAAACTTTAAAGTATATTATAAGATTAGAATCTCAAAACCACAAAATCATAATGGATACTGTAAAACCTATCAAGTGCATACAAATTTCCTAAGCTTTGCACTTCAAGATGAAGATGTTATTTAATAATCATTTAAATATAATCTTTTTAAATTTTATATTTGTAATTCCGGAGAATTACCTTTAGCTTCCAAAAAAAATAGTAATTAGGAATTAAAATGTGCAGATGTTAAAATATTTTAGATTATTTGAGGAAAAGAGCTTAAACTGCTACTTTGTATTGTATGCTTCCGTCAAGTATATAAGACTATTATGTTTTTTTTTAATACAATATTACTCATTTTAATAATTAACATTACATTTAACTATTATTCATTTCAAGATAATCTATTATTAATAATATTTATAATATAATAATGAAAATAACAAATAAACAATAACAAACAAAAAAACCTCATATAATCCTATAACATCATGAAAGATTAACTTTCCACAAAATGATGCATTTTTAATTAAAAAAAAAAATAAGAAAAATTAAAATTTAATAAAATATTTTGTTAAATTTTTAAAGACTTTTATTTTAAAAGTTTTTGAATTTTTTTGTGATATCAAACTTTTCTATTTTATCACCATTGAAAAGGAAAGTGTTCTCTGAAGCACTGAAAAAGCAGAGTTTTTGTTAATTTCACTTGCAAAAATGATTTTTTTTTTCCTGTGTAGTTTAGAAAACATTTAAGAATGTGTAGTTAATTAATCATTAAAATCAAATAAAATTCTGTGTTCTGGGTGTTCTCTATGTGTAAGTTTACTTGTGTAGTTTAGAAAACATTTAAGAATGTGTAGTTAATTAATCATTAAAATCAAATAAAATTCTGTGTTCTGGGTGTTCTCTATGTGTAAGTTTACTTGTTGCAGTTCTGGAGATTCTGGCTCAATTCATCAGAATACAAATTAATTAAGATTTGGAACTTTTCTTTTAGTTAAAATAAAAGTTAAATTTTAGCTCAAATCAAACTTATATTAAATCAAACTATAATTTTCTGTCGAAACTATAAGACTATTAAACTATAAGGCCATTTTCTTATAGCTTTTCTAGTAAAATTTATCTTATAGCTAATTAAGGCCAAAAATTTAAACTAATTAAGGCTTTTTAGTTAAATTTATTTTATAGCTTTTCTAGTTAAATTTAAAAAATGCAAAAAATATACATCAAACTAATAGATCGAGCTGTCAAGCGCAAGTGAAATAAGGAAAAATTAGTAAGAGAGAAAGAATAAAAAAATTAAAAATACATATTGATCAGATGTTCAGAACAAAATAAAGACATGAGAGTAAAGTGTGCAGTAAAAAATATAAAAGATAATTTAGACACTACGCATGTAATAGATATGATAAACTCAGAAACCTAATGAAAAATCATGACCAACACACAAGGTCTAAAAGAAATATAAAATACAAAACTTTATGTGACATGCTCAGAGTGGATTTATTTTGTTATACTAAACATAAATCTTCATTAAATACAAAAGTTTAACTTACTTTAAAACAAATATACATATGCATAGATATATAGATTTATACATATGCATAGATGTATATGCATAGATATATTTAAAATGAATAAATGTAAAATGATAGGAGATACAAGATAAAGAAAAAACTTTGCTTTTGTGTAATCATAATTTATGAAGTGGTAATAATAAACTTCTCCTCAGAATCACGTTTATTATTACCGGCGTTTCAAAGATGCTCAGTACCAAGTAAGTTACTTTTAATTTTTAATTTGTAAGATTTTTTTAAAAAAAAGGGCTTTCAGGAAATTTTATTTAAAAAGCTTTAGCTTATTAATTCAGCTTGGTTAATGTTGACTATGCAATATATGAATATGCATTATAATTTATTTTTAATTAAAATTATAGCCTTTGTTCGCCATATCCTCTCTTGTATGACTTTTTAATTCTAAAAATTTTTAAAATCTTTCTTCAGATTTACTGTAAAAGACAAACACAAATTGAATAATTCTAGTTGATATAATATATAAACCGATAATATTAATAATTCACCTCTTCAAGGCCGAGAAGGCCACTACAGTTAAGGAGGCTACTTTTGTGGTTACAACCCTCTCTCAATTCTATAATTCCAAAACATGAACCTCAACACAAGGCTGCTGGGCGGAGAAACAAGTTGAGGGCGGTACTACCAGAGAGCTGGTGGGGATCAAACTTGGAACTTCTCGCTTATGAGGCAAGCGCTCTACTGCTACACCACTTTTGCATTTAAAATTATAAAAAATAAAATAGAAACTACAGAAATTTATTTTACTCCTGATATTTTGGAAATACCAGGAGTAGAGTCCACCAAAACGCTTAAGTATTTAATGTTGTTGATTTTCAACCATACTTGTTTACTAATTGAGATTGCTTGTATCACTTTTCATAATTTAATTTAGTGAAATTTTTTCTGCTTTAACTCTTTATCAAGTTTATTTTCTCTTCTGCATTGCAATCATTCATTGCACTTATTCATCATGCTCAAACATTTAGCTACTTTATTTTTTTAAACTGAAAAAAAAATTATTATTTATCTTTACTAATAAATATAAAAACTCATATCACACAAAAATTAATCTTTAAAATCATGCTGTTGTGAAACAATACAAAATATCAAAAAAAAGTCCGGTTTAAAAAGATTAATTAGTAATAAATGAACTTGAAGACAAAAAAATCATCGCAGCTGATACAAAGCCGCAAAAAATGTATACCACATAACCACAAAAGACACAAAAAATCATTGCATTCAATTGTGTTATTAACTTTTAATAGATGGATTATATTTTGCTGAAAAAAATACTTCTAAATTAAAATTTTAATAACATGCATAAAATAACTGAAAAATTACTTTAAAAAAGCATTATTATTAACAGCAGCCTCAACTTGAATATTCAACATACTCAATTTTCAATTTTATAACTATGCCTTTCCGGTATGTATTTTGTATATTTTGTTGTTGATTTGAATACAAGCAAAATTTGATCAGTCTTGGCGCAGTGATTAAAGCGCTGTCAGAATCGGGGGTATAAGGTTCAATGAATGTTTAGAAAAAATTTTGTAGTTTCCAAAAAAAAAACATTAAAAACACAGACCAGATAATCAGTTAAAAATTAACTATTCTCAAATTGGTTGAAAATGAAAATCTATAAAATAGGTCCAAAAATAAATCGGTCAAAAACAAAAACATAAATTGGTTGAAAATAAAAAAGACTTTATTTGGCTGAAAACAACTTGGGTCCCAGTAGGTTATCTGAAAATTAGTTCCACTTTTTAGTAGATGTTCTTTTTGTAGAACAACTCACTATATCGAGATTTTTGTAGGTCTAACTATCTGACACAATTACAACCAAGTTAATTTAATCCTTTACTTCCTGATCCTTAAAGTATTTCATCTAAAAGAGATTATAAAGGCTTTATGATTATTGTCTGTCTTTATAATTTTTAAGATTCAGGCAGGCATGGAAGTTTTTATTCCTTTTAGTCAGTTTTAAGTCAATCCTTTCTATGGTTTTCTTGTTCAGCTTAATTTTACCCACAAGTCCCTGGAGAATAACTATCGTTTTATTATTAGGTATAAAAATTAAAGTTTTAGTTCAACTAAAACTAGTTGACTAACTTATTAGGTCAACTAAAACTTTTTACTTTGACTAAAACTAGTCGACTAGCCATACATCAATGAAACTAATTTTAGTTTCATTGATGTAAGAGAACACATCCATTAAAAAAAACAATTAATCTAACTTGAACCTCAATAAATACTGTTGAGTGAAATTAAATGCAGAAATTTCTGAATAGAATCTGACCATGCAGGTAAATCCGTGAGAAAACATAATGAAAACATGGTGCCATTAAATAATACCTAATGCTGTGAACCTATTGTTGTCTCAACGCTTAGACTATAAGATGTTCCAAATATTTGGGGAGCCCTTACAAAGTAAAAAAAGTTTTCAGTAAAAAATGAGTACAAAAGCAGTTTTTTGCTATAAATATAAATATATTAAAATAATAACCTGTATATAAAAAAGTATTTGTATGTCCACCAACAACAACATCTAGTTCTTTTACTTCTCTTGCAACCGATATATCTGTTTCAAAACCAGCATGACCCAAGGCTATGATAATTTTAACACCTTTTGATTCTAAATGATGTGCTTCTTTGCGCACAGATTCTATTACATTATAAAAAGTGATGTTTGGACCAGGCCTGGACAACCTAAAAAAAACACTGAACGCTAAAATCTTAGTTAAAAAAAGTTACTCAAAAAAATTCTTATTATATCAACAAAAAAAAAAACTATTTTTATATTAAAAATTAATTTATTGGTTTATATTATTTATTATTTAAATTTTTAAAGTTGATTTATTAATATTTAAAAAATTAGTTTTTCATACGTTTAACAATTTATTTTGTATGGAACTCTAATAGTGGTTGCTTGCAGCTTTGTTGAAAGTGAAGATATTTTAAAAAAATGTTATATGTATTTTACTTTTAATATCAATCTTTAGTTAGTTGAATCTTTAGTTAACAATTTTTTGTTATGTTAAGGTAAACAACTGCTTCTTGTTCTATTGTTTTTTTTAACCATTTAACCATAGATTTTTTCAATTGTGAAAGTGAACAATAATTCAATATTTACCACTTATTATATACAATTATATATGTGGTAGTGACATAGTGGTAGAACGCTTGCTTTATAAGCAAGAAGTTTGGAGTTCAATCCCCACCACATCCCTGGTAGTACCACACTCAATTTTTTTAAGGCTCATGTTTTAGAGTTATAGAGTTAAGAGAGGGTTGTAGCCACAACCCTCTCTAATATGTATGTATTAGGGTTATATATATATATATATATATATATGCAATCGATTGCAAAGTTAGCATCTAATGTTACTTCTTTTTATTGTGTTCTATTGAAATCCGTTTGAACTCTCTCCCATCTTCATGTTTTTGTGACTAATACAACTTTTCAAGTCTTCTGTCATTTATTTCTTTGCTCTTTAACTCTATTCTTTATTTTCTAGTAACTCCCAACTTAATAGTGGTTGCTTACAGCCTTCTTGCAGCCTTCTTCTTTCAGCCTTGTTAGAAGTGAATAAGATTAAAAAAAACATCTGTTGCAATTTCTTTTTTTTTTTACAGACTTTGATCTAGTAATTTATAACTCAATGCTTTTAGCTAGTGTGAAGCTGTGTGTGGAGCTGTGTGTGGAGCCATCTTGACATAATTTTCTTTCAAAAACGACCATTCCAGAATTAACATAAGTTTTGAGACATAATTTGACTATTGTTTTAAAAATATTTACAGTTCAAAACCAAATTTGGAAAACCAAATTTGGAAATTTCAAAACCAAATTTGGAAAAAATAAGAAACTTTAAAATAATTAAATTTAAATGAAAAGACATACTCCATTTAAATGGTATAGTTTTTTAGGCAAGTAGTTTATAATAACTGTAAGCCTTATATTCCAGCTACTTCCAGCCTTATATTCCACTGTACTACTAAATACTGCTATTATACCTTTAAAGTATTATATATTTGCTGTAATGTTTTTTATCATTATTATTTGAAAGAGAATATATAATTTAATAACTATATAAATATATAATTTATACAATGTTAAATTATTTGTTGTTTCACTTGTATCATCAGTTTTGAGGCTTTTATATGCATTCACACAAGAATTCTTTCATGTGAAAAAAATTTTTAAAAGAATAATATTGTCATTTTTTTCTAAAAATTGTCCAAATAGAATTATTCAAATCATTAATAAAAGTTCAAGTAAAATGTAATGGTTAATAAATATTATTTATATTAAATAACTATTATTTATATTAGTTTTCTTGTCATTTTTATCACAATTTTCTTTGATGTAATTAATATTATTATTATCATTAGATATTTAGTTGAGAACAGTGTTTCTAATAATATTAGTTAATACATTGGTATTTAAAAACTTTATTTCAGAAATGTATTAATTGATTGGTATCTTTTTCGTTTAACATTATTCTTCATTTATCTTCTCCATGAACCTTCAATAAAAAATTAAAACCATGATAAGAAAAAAATTTTAAATATTTGTAATTATTTGAACTAAAAATATTATTTATATCAAAATATCTGACTTAGTTTTCTCTGTTTGAAATTAACCGCCAGCGCAGGAAAAAGCAGTGACAGTAATTATTTGTCCAGCATAAAAAATATTTGTTTTTTGTACCTCTTTAATCAGAATTTAATTAAGAAAAAAGATTTGTTGCAATTAAAAAATACACTCAAAATTTTTTGGCGAGCGCCTTAAAATTACGCCAGCAGGAATATTGGCGGGCGTATGGGCGGGTGTTTGGGCGATCGCAAAACTGCAAGAATGCGAAAGCGCTCTTTAAACGGAGAAGACTGCGACTGGTTTAAGACCAACAAATTATCTCTTAACACTGATAAAACTAAATGGATTATTTTCCATCCTCTTAAAACATAAACTGCCAATTAACATCCCTCAACTTGTTATTGACAGTATACAAATTAAACAAGTAACAGTAAGCAACTTTCTAGGTGTTTGTATAGATGAAAATCTTACATTGAAAAATCATATTAAAAACTTATCAAGTAAAATTTCAAAATGTATAGAAATATTGTACAAAGCAAGAAATGTTTTAAATAAACATACTTTAGTACAATTACATTTATTCATTGTCACATAAACTATGCAAACATTGCTTGGGGTAGTACAAATAAAAATAAAATTAAACCTCTTTATTGTCAACAGAAGCATGTAGCACGTCTCATATATTTTAAAGGCCGCTATACTCATGCATAACCTTTATTATTTGAAATGAAAGTTTTTAATATATATGAGCTAAATATTTTTATTATTCTTTGTTTTATGTTTAAATGTAAAACCAATTTATCCTCGATTTCTTTCCATAACTTTTATTCATTAAAAGATAAAAATAAATACATTTTATGCAATGATAATTTTATTAAGCAAACCATTTTTCAAACAAATCTTTTTAAATTTTGTATTGATTATTGGGGACCATTCTTATGGAATAAAATACTTTTAAAAAATTTTACTGAGGATTTTATTCAACAAAGTAACTATTTTTCTTTTAAAGAAAAGCTTAAAGAACTCATTTTTACAATCGAAAATTTAACAATATACTTTTGATATTTTTCAGTGAACTTCCTTATTACCCTCTATTTAAACATGAATTTATAAAAATTATATAGGGGAGAGGGGGCACGTTGATACACTTTTTACAATTTACTGACATTAAAAACTAAATATTATATTTAGAGTGTAAATAATAACTTGTATATGTTCCATCCTGCATACTTTAATACCACAATTTTATTGATTAGAACATAATTAAATTAAATACAGTACAAAAAGTAAAGTAAAGATTTGTGTATCAACCTGCCCCATGCAGAGGCAAGTTGATACACAACATGGGGCAAGTTAATACATTTAATAAGACTTGAAAATGAAGCTTTAAAAAACTAATTAAGTAATCAAACACAAAAGATTAGGTAAACAAACACAAAAGATTAGGTAATCAAACACAAAAGATTAGGCAAACAAACAGAAAAGATTAGGTAATCAAACACAAAAGATTAAGTAATCAAACACAAAAGATTAGGTAAACAAACACAAAAGATTAGGTAATCAAAAACAAAAGATTAGGTAATCAAACACAAAAGATTAGGTAAACAAACACAAAAGATTAGGTAATCAAACACAAAAGATTAGGTAAACAAACAGAAAAGATTAGGTAATCAAACGCAAAAGATTAAGTAATCAAACACAAAAGATTAGGTAAACAAACACAAAAGATTAGGTAATCAAACACAAAAGATTAGGTAATCAAACACAAAAGATAAGGTAAACAAACACAAAAGATTAGGTAATCAAACACAAAAGATTAGGTAATCAAACACAAAAGATTAGGTAAACAAACACAAAAGATTAGGTAATCAAACACAAAAGATTAGGTAATCAAACACAAAAGATTAGGTAAAAAAACACAAAAGATTAGGTAATCAAACACAAAAGATTAGGTAAACAAACAGAAAAGATTAAGTAATCAAACAGAAAAGATTAGGTAATCAAACACAAAAGATTAGGTAATCAAACACAAAAGATTAGGTAAACAAACACAAAAGATTAGGTAATCAAACAGAAAAGATTAGTAATCAAACAGAAAAGATTAGGTAATCAAACACAAAAGATAAGGTAATCAAACACAAAAGATTAGGTAAACAAACACAAAGAAATGTTAATCAAACACAAAAGATTAGGTAATCAAACACAAAAGATTAGGTAATCAAACACAAAAGATTAGGTAAACAAACACAAAAGATTAGGTAAACAAACAGAAAAGATTAGTAATCAAACACAAAAGATTTGGTAAACAAACACAAAAAATTAGGTAATCAAACACAAAAGATTAGGTAATCAAACACAAAAGATTAGGTAATCAAACACAAAAGATAAGGTAAACAAACACAAAAGATTAGGTAATCAAACACAAAAGATTAGGTAATCAAACACAAAAGATTAGGTAATCAAACACAAAAGATTAGGTAAACAAACACAAAAGATTAGGTAATCAAACACAAAAGATTAGGTAAACAAACAGAAAAGATTAGGTAATCAAACACAAAAGATTAAGTAATCAAACACAAAAGATTAGGTAAACAAACACAAAAGATTAGGTAAACAAACACAAAAAATTAGGTAATCAAACACAAAAGATTAGGTAAACAAACACATAAAAATTAGGTAATCAAACACAAAAGATTAGGTAAACAAACACAAAAGATTAGGTAAACAAACACAAAAGATTAGGTAATCAAACACAAAAGATTAGGTAATCAAACACAAAAGATTAGGTAAACAAACACAAAAGATTAGGTAATCAAACACAAAAGATTAGGTAATCAAACACAAAAGATTAGGTAATCAAACACAAAAGATTAGGTAAACAAACAGAAAAGATTAGTAATCAAACACAAAAGATTTGGTAAACAAACACAAAAAATTAGGTAATCAAACACAAAAGATTAGGTAAACAAACACAAAAAATTAGGTAAACAAACACATAAAAATTAGGTAATCAAACACAAAAGATTAGGTAAACAAACACAAAAGATTAAGTAAACAAACTAAAAAAAGATGGCTACATAGTTAACATAAATTTGACTTGCTTTTTGCCTTCCAAAGTTAAATTGTGGCTTTTACATAGACTTATATATTACAAGATTTCAAGATTTTATGGTAATAGTAATATGCTTTTTGTTTAGCCTAAAAAAAGATGGCTACATAGTTAACATAAATTTGACTTGCTTTTTGCCTTCCAAAGTTAAATTGTGGCTTTTACATAGACTTATATATTACAAGATTTCAAGATTTTATGGTAATAGTAATATGCTTTTTGTTTAGCCTATACAAAATGATAAGTAACAAAAATAAGTTATTGATGACATGATGAAAAGTAATACTATTGTCTAAAAATGCGAGCCATAATTTTAATAGATCCAAGGCAAGACCTAGCAAAACCCTATAATTCCCCTAGCCGTCCTAGCCATAACTTGGCTATAAACTTTTTAGTCACTATTATACATTATTATTGTTTTAAATAGTGGTATTAATAATAATTAGGCGTAGACCTAACACTATTTTATTAGGCCTATTTACCTATTTACTATCTTTGCAAGAAAAAAAACATTAGTCTACACCAAACAATTTAACTGCATTAATGCAAATACATAAACAAAAATATTTTCGTCCATACTCAAATACTTTACCAAAAGGGTAAGATGATACAGTGTAACAATTTGCCCCAAATGCCCAAGTGGTCTGTATCAACGTGCCCCTTTAGATGGCATTGCATTAAATTTGAGTTAAATTTTAACAGAAGCAGCGAACAAACAAATGACATATGCAAAATCATCTAGAAATGTTTTCTTAAACTTATGGAAGGGTTGATGAGCTAAATGTACTTACCTTTTTTGTAAAATCTCCTACAAAACACGTTGTCAGTTTTTTTCAAAAGCTGCTCGATTTACAATATGCTTCCCAGCTTGATCAACTTTGAAATGAGTGGAAATCTTTTTACATCGAACGTTAGGGAACTTAAAAGCTATTTCCCGTACCAAATATTATTCGCAATTATTAGTGTAAAATTAGTGTAATAGCTGTTTTATTAGCTTTGTATCAATTTGCCCCCGTATCAACTTGCTCCCCTGCTCTATGTATCAACCCTCCAAATTAGGGTCAGCATTTGGTAATGCCGACCTAAAAGTGTTTGCAGTCGCCAAAAAATTGACGACCTCGTTTCGATGTTATATGGTAAGACCTTTGTATAAATTTTTTATTGCCGACCTGATGCCGACCTCTAAAAGATTGAGGTGGGCAAATTATTGCCAACCTCAATCTTTTCAACCTCTCGAAATTATTTTCCTAATTTCGAGAGTTGTATGCATCTTTAACAACTGTAATATTGTATTTTGTATTAGTAATGGAATATTTTAAGTTTCTTACTTTATTACTTATTTTTTATCTTGTAAATATCTTATAAATTTTAACAGAAACATTTCTTAGCAGTACTAGACGACAAGACTGTATAATCTTCTATGAGAAATCGCATTTTTTTATTATTTAATAACAAACATTATATATATATATATATATATATATATATATATATATATATATATATATATATATATATATATATATATATATATATATATACATATATATATATTTGTATTGTAAATATTGTAACAAAATGCTTATTTAAAATGTAATAAAAAGAATATATATATATATATATATATATATATATATAATATATATATATATATATATATATATATATATATATATATATATATATATATATATATATATATATATATATATATATATATATATATATATATATATATATATATATATATATACTACATTTATTTAAAGAATATTAATATAACTAACTTTGAAGTTTTAATTTATTTTAATATTATTTAAATTATTAAATAAATTATTTAAATGATTATAAACATTTAAATAGCATTAGAAACTTAACTTAAGTTAGGCCTGTAAAGTCTTAAATTGTAAAGTGATGTGCCTTACAATAAGTACTGTTAATGGCTTTTAGTAACATAAAAAGGTCTGTTACCTGAAGGTGATTTGTAACTGACTTTATTTTTATGAATGTACCTGATGAACTATGTACTACGTACAAATTTGTATGTTAAAAAATAATCTTATCATTTTGTAAACATTGTCACACCATTTTGTGTCAGGAGTAATGTATCCAATAACGCCAATTTTTACACCATTTCTTTGAAACACTTTAGACTTTGCAAATGTGGAGTTCTTTGGCCAATCAGTAACATTACTAACATCCATATTTGCAGAAAGAATGGGGAATGTTACATTGATAATAAAAGGAATTATCCCTTCAACGCCATTATCAAATTCATGATTACCAAGTGTCTATAACATACAAAAACAAACTTTTATATTCAAATATAAAATATCTTAAGATATTAAACTATGTGTATTTAATAATTGAAAAAAATAACTAAATGATTTAGTTTCAAAATTAAATGATTTAGTTGGAAATTTAAAAAAAGTTAAAAAAAATAAAAAAGGTGATTCTCTAATTATCCTTAATTTTAGGAGCATGTGTCAAATGAAAAATGAATTAAAATATATATATATATATATATATATATATATATATATATATATATATATATATATATATATATATATATATATATATATACCGTAAAACGGGGTGAATAGAAACAGTGGGGTGAATAGAAACAAAACTTTATTTTTGTATATATAATCTATTTACTACATAACTATGAGTAAATAATGGCAACTAATAATTTTTTCAGGTTGCTACACTTTAGCCTGAAAGTGAAATAATGGTTTGCTTATTTAGCAGCATTGGTTCTTGTTTGTTTTTCATGTTGAATTTTACCGCACAATTCTTGTTTTGTTTTTTATTCATTTTGAACTTTCAAGGTAAGTCGGAATACTCAGTGTTCTTGAAAGTAAATAGCTGTACAAAACATAGTTTAATTATTCATATGAAAGAGTTAGGCTAACTTTAAGCTTTAACTGTAACAATATTATTTTAATAATTATTCGAATTTTTTAGGTTAGGTTTTCAGAATTGACGGGGTGAATAGAAACATATAATTTCTAGTGTTTCTTTACACCCCGCAATAAAAAAGTAATTCTAAATCACGTTTATACTGTATAAAATACATACTGTATGCTATATATTTATGTTAGACACTTAACTGACACAGCTGTTTTATTTCAGAACCCTGTAAAATGCCAAGGAAGTACAAACACGTGGTTGGAGGTGGCTACAAAAAGCACGATCCAAAAACAATCAAAAAAACAATTTCTGACATATAGAATGGATTAAGCCTTCAAAAGTCTGCTGAAAAACATGGTTTGCATTATAGTGTTCTTTATTGACACTTGAAAAGAGGTCCAAATTTGAAGAAACATGGTGGTAAGACAGCATTATCTCTTGAAGAAGAACAGCTGTTTGTTGATAGGCTTAAGATATGTGGCAAATGGGGTTATCCCATTGACACTACAACTCTAGACTCCTTGTAAAAGACTTTTTAGACCGGAGAGGGAAAGAAGTTAAGAGATTTAAAGATAACCTCCCCGGCCGTGACTTTGTGGAATCATTTATAAAACTAAGGAACAACTGGCCGTCAGAATATTAAACGCTCGAGGGCTGGTGTAACACCAGAAACAATAAACCACTATTTTGATAAACTGACAAATGAATTAAAGGATGTGCCTTTATCTAATATCGTTAACTACGATGAGACGAATCTAAGTGATGACCCTGGTAAGCAAAAGGTCATTATACGTAGAGGGACAAAATATCCAGAAAGAGTCATAAACTCATCAAAGTCATCTACGTCTGTGATGTTTGCAGCCGCTGCTGATGGCACTATTTTACCACCTTACGTTGTGAATAAGGCTATGCACTTGTACCAAAGCTGGACAGAAGGTGGGCCAAAAAACACAAGGTACAATCGAACAAAGTCTGGCTGGTTCGATTCCTTTTGCTTTGAAGATTGGGTACTGACAGTTGCTCTTCCGTACCTGAAAAACAAAACGGGTCGAAAAATTCTGATTGGGGACAACTTGTCTTCCCACTTATCAATGGAATCTGTGAATTTGTGTAAAGACAATGATATCAGTTTTATTTTTCTCCCAGCTAACTCCACCCATCTCACACAACCTCTAGACGTAGCCTTTTTTCGCCCATTGAAATCAACATGGCGGCAGATTTTCGAAGAGTGGAAAAAGGGCCCAGGAAGAGCAGAAGCAACTGTTCCTAAGGACAAATTTCCCGCGTTATTGAAAAAGTTGTGTGCTTCATTGAAGGAAGAAAATGTGATCAGCGGTTTTAAGAAGTGCGGTATAGAGCCTCTAAACAGGAACAAAGTGCTGTCTAGGCTTCCAAAAATCATTGATGATGAGGAAAATCAGAATCCAGAAAACATTCAAAAGAACACTGAAGCTGTTGACAGGAGTTTCCAAGAGCTCCTTCAGAGTCTGCGTCATGATCAGACTCCTAAGATAAGGCAAAAAAGGACCAAAGTAAATGTGAAACCTGGCAAAAGTATTGGTGTTGAGGACTTCGTCGTGGACGATGAGATTCCCCAAACTTCACGTTCTACTGGCCAAAACCCAGGTACCTCAGGTACTAAACAGGTTCAGCCAAAGAAAAGCCGAAAGCGTGTGGAGATATAATCAGAAGATGAAGAGGACTATTCCAACTTGTTTTCTTACCGTAGGGCACATTATATGTAACTTCTTTTGTTTATGTACTCAAATAAATCATTATGTTGAGAAATAAATTTATTTGTATTCATTTATTGACCAAAAATCCATATTTGTCTGTTTCAATTCACCCTAAATTTTTTTCAATAGAAAAACACATGAAATTGAAGTACTGTTTCTATTCACCCCCATCTGCGGGGTGAATAGAAACACCATGCTTTATATATTTTTCTTTAAAATCAAATAAAATTAAAAAATTTAAATACTATAAACAAATAGGCCTAACAGAGACCTGTGTTCGGGGCAAAAAATCGTTTATCTAGAACAACTACAAGTATGCACATTTTCATACCAAAGTTGAAAATTGTTTCTATTCACCCCGTTTTACGGTATATATATATATATATATATATATATATATATATATATATATATATATATATATATATATATATATATATATATATATATATATATATTTAATATTACAACTAACTGAGATATTTAATATTACAACTAATTGAGGTATTTAATATTACAACTGAGATATTTAATATTACAACTGAGATATTTAATATTCAACTAATTAAGGTATTTAATATTACAACTAACTGAGATATTTAATATTACAACTGAGTTATTTAACATTACAACTAACTGAGATATTTAATATTACAACTGAGATATTTAATATGACAGTTAACTGAAATATTTAATATGACAATTAACTGTGATATTTATCTATTACTGGTGATCGACCGGAACTAATATTTTGCCAAAACCAGAACTAAACCAAAAATCAATTTTTATTATTCATAACCAGAACCAAAACAGAAAATAAACCAAAACAGGACAGAAAATAAACAGAAACCGGAACCAAACTTCAATAATATATATTGTTTTTTAAAGTTAGTTTTAATTTAAATAAAATATTGAATTAATAAAAAAAACTAATAACAGAATCCAACAACTGGAAGATTTTCTTTACAAAAAAGAAGTTTTTCCAAATTTTCTGGATGGATATCTCCAGCTGTAGAAAACAGTCTTTCAACATCTGTAGGTGTTGGAGGTGGTGTGAGGTACTTTTTTGCCATTTAAGTCAACACTAACTTGATTTTGGAGCTTTTCCAAAAACTCAAAGCATTGAAAAGCCATTAGACTGTCAAAAAAATCATTCAACGCTTCTTTTATCATTTTGAAAGATGAACATGCATTTGGTCCTAATTGAGTTTGAGATTGCGCAATAATTTTTGACATTATATGAATAAACAATCCGATTTTTTCATTGTCGCCAGATAGAATTTGAGTTGCAGGAGACAATTCATCTAGAGGTTCAAAATTGCCCATTTGGGACATGACAACAAGTTTAGTATTTTGCAAAGCACTTTGAAATCTGAAAAATACCATTTGTATCTTGAATCGAGTAGAGTAGCAACTGAATAATATTCTGGTTTTTCAATTGCTGAAAAACGTTTTTCCATTGCATTTTTCATAGCAACTTTTAACTCCTGAACACTGATATCACTAGAAGTTGTTTTCAAAGTTTTAATTATTGTTGTCACAATTGGAATACAGGAATTGATGCAAGAGTCAACACCTGACAACATTTTTTATGCCTCTTCAAAAACACTTAAAATCTTTACCACTTTTTCACAGAGGTTCCAATCTTGGACAGAAAATTCAATTCCAACTTAAGGAAATTCGATTATAGTGGCAGCAATGGCTGGCAGTGTTAAGTTCGCTCAAGCATATAATATGTAGAGTTCCATCTTGCAGCAACATTGCTTTTTAAGCCAAGTCTGACTTTAGTATCTATTTGGATTTCTTATTGTCTGTAAAGTTTGGTGTAGTAGAATGGGATGCGTAAAAACAGAGTTTTTTATCACTTTGCAATCAGTCCGTCAAAAAAGAACTATTTTCACATCTATGGATGTGAAAATAGTTCTTTTTTGATGACAAGTTGAAGGGAGTGGTTAAGGCATCCAACTGACACATAATTATAGCTTGGTTCATTAAAAGCTGCCTTTACATTTGCTGCATTGTCTCTTGAGCAAACTTCAATTTTTGAAGAAATTTTCCACTCCTCGGCTGTTGTTTTGATCTTGTTGAAAATGTTTTTAGCAGTAAGCCTTTCATCAAATTGAGAACAAGAGATGCAGAATTTGACACGGTTCCAATCTTTAGAAATAAAGAAATAACAGTCATCCCCAGGTAGCAATGATGAAATGATGACCATGCATTAAGACGGACACACTTTCAACTTCTGATTTAACCAACTTTTCCTTGAGAGCAAATTTTATTTATTCATAAGTCGAATTCAGTAAACTTCTGTAGTATTTTTCGCTAGCAATTTCATAATTAGGAGCAACAAGAATATGGTGCCTTAAAAATCCAGCATCATTGACAATAGACCACGGTTGGAGGTCAAGAACCATCATTTCAAATATTGATAAGTGAAATTTTTGGGATTTTTCAGAATTAGAGTCAATTTTTGAAGAAGTTTGAACCCAGTTTGAAATTGTAGATTTTAACATCTCAAGTCTTTATTTTTTGACCATATATTGAAGATTGGAACTATCTTTCTCTTGTTTAATTTCAATTCAGCTTCTTCATTGGCTTTTAGATTTCCTGAATATTCTGGCATAAGTTTGATGTCAGGATGATGATTATTCAGGTGTGACGTTAGTCCATATAATCCTTGTTTTTGGGGGTTGTCTAACCCTCTTGAAACTTTACCGTTGCATATTTTGCACTGAACTATTCTTGGATTGTTTGCTTCAACTATGAAGTATTTCCATGCTAAACTTGTTTTTCTTTTTGAATTTATTTTGTTAGAATGAACTATAAGACGGTATTTCAATGTTGCTGGTTTGCGCCAAATAAAAATGTTAAAAATATAATTGACAAGTTTTTTGTATTTTCAATATTTATTGTAATGATTGCTACACAAAAATTCCCTTTAGACACTAATTAACAATATGCTCTCTTTAGACAAATATTAACGATTTCAACACTACAATTCCCTTAAGGAAATCATCATGTTGAAATTGTTGTCCGATTGAAATAGTTGTCTAATTGAACATTGTTTTCTAAGGGAAATTCTCGTGTGATTAAAAACAATGTGCAATTAAAAACTGTTGCAATAAACTTAAAAAAGAGTTGATTGAAGAAACAACAAATAATTTAACACTTTATAAATTATATAAAATTAGGATAAAAGTTGGATTTTTTAAATTAATTGTAATATTTAATATATATATTTATTTGAATAAAAGTTATACTCATAACAACAATATTATCTTTCAAATAACAATAAAAAACTTTACAAGATATGAATATTAATTTAAACAAAAAAATTATTTGGTTTTCAAACAAAGAAAAAAAATTTCCGTTAATTCTCAAGCTTATTATTTAATTTAAAAAACTTTTTTTTTTAATTATTTTATTAAAATAATGTTTAATAAAGCTTTAAAATATCCATTTTCGGTAGCATTTTGAACCAAAATTCCGGCTGAAACCAAAATCTTAAATAATACCAGTACAGGAACCAAAAAATCCGGTAATAGATGTGGTCAGAAATGGAACTGAATTTCGGTCAATCACTAAATGCCAGAAATAAAAGCAGTTGCTACTTATCAACTGGTTTTATTTCTAACATAGAGCTGCCAACTTTGATGCATTCATGTCAAGTAGAAGTTGCTGATATTACTTGGTAATATTATCAAATACTCTTTGATAATCTTTGATATCACCAAGAATAGTCATCTTAAATGTTACCAAAAATTTATATGTTTGAAACCTTTTTAGAAAGGCTTTTTTTATAATCAAGGGTAGTTACAAATAGTTATTTAAATAATGTATTAAAGTAAACATTTAACAATAATAATAACGTATAAAGAATAATAATGCTTATGTTCACAACATATAAAATGGCAAAGGTAACAATATATAGCAAAAACAATATTAAACATCAGAGAATCAAAGAACTCACTTGGATTAACAACAATCTATTAAAAAAAATTAAAATTAAACAAAAAATTCGAAAATTGAAACTTTCAAAAATATTCAAAATTCACAAAATTTCTTAGAAAAATCTATTGTTTATTACTATCATATATTACTGTCATATATTACTATCATATATTACTATCATATATTACTATCATATATTACTATCATATATTACTATCATATATTACTATCATATATTACTATCATATATTACTATCATATATTACTGTCATATATTACTATCATATATTACTATCATATATTACTATCATATATTACTATCATATATTACTATCATATATTACTATCATATATTACTATCATATATTACTATCATATATTACTATCATATATTACTATCATATATTACTATCATATATTACTATCATATATTACTATCATATATTACTATCATATATTACTATCATATATTACTATCATATATTACTATCATATATTACTATCATATATTACTATCATATATTACTATCATATATTACTATCATATATTACTATCATATATTACTATCATATATTACTATCATATATTACTATCATATATTACTATCATATATTACTATCATATATTACTATCATATATTACTATCATATATTACTATCATATATTACTATCATATATTACTATCATATATTATTATATACATGATATTTGTATCAGGAGATATAAAAGATTCAAGATCTTAAATATCTCAGATCTGGTAGATTGTTAAATATCTCAGCAGAGAGCTCATCCAATAGAAAACCACAATTCGGATAAGAATGGGTTGTATCAAGACTTATTTCAACAGTTACCAAGTGATAGCAAAAGTTTAGTTCTTGTTCACAAGTTTAATACGACCCAATTTCACACGAACAACAAGAACGTTAATAAAATCTGCTGTGTCTTGTCTTTCTTTTATATACTGCAGTCCTTGATGACTAATGACATGGTTAGTTTAAATATTGAAACATCATTTAAATTAGATAATTTAACTAAATTTTCAAGTTTCAAAGATTCAGTCTATAAAGTTTTTTTAAGACATTCCTATTGTTTTACTTTACATACTCCTTTATCTTAAAAAAAAAGTTGACCAGTTTTTTCATTAAGCCATTAATTTCTATTGTTTTTAAGCAAATCTAAAAAAGCAAAGATTATGCATACCATCAATACCATCAATAGCCAACCAAGGTTTATCTAGGGCTGCTTTTTTAAAGATTTTGATAACTACATTTCTTAAACATAAACCTCATCATGCAATAAAATACAAAGTTTCTTTTTTTTTTTCAACAGATTGAAAAATGTTTTTCATTTCAAAAAAAAGCTTCTCATTTAATTTAGAAACTTTTGAAGTTTTCTTTTCAAAGATCTTAAAGAAGATAATTGGTAATTTGTTTACAATTGATTATACAAATGATGTAGCAAAATACTGAAAAAATCTAATAATAACCTCCTTACAATAAATCTTACTACCAACACACTGTGTACCTGAAGAAACTAAATGTTCCTGAATTACAATTTCTTTTCTTCCAGGAATCAAACTTTTCAAATAAAGTAAAGCTTTTTCTTATATAAGCCATGTGTTGATTTTTGAAATTCTGTTTTGAGAATTTGTAGGAACTTTATTTTTGGCACCATAGTGATAAGTTTCAATATCAAATTGTCTTGATTAAAAAAATTTTGATTAAAAAACATGGAACCATGGAAACATGGAACCTCATTTTAATAAACTTGTGATTGCAAATGAATAGGGTTATTAATAATAAAGCATACTAATTTATCACCTAAATCTCTTTCATTACATTAAAGAATTTTTTCCATTTCAGAAAAGGTTACTCTATTTTTTTCTAAAAAAATTGATAGTTCAACATACACAAAGCATGATTTGTTGAACGTAATGGAGTCATGGCAGTAAAAACAGATAGCGGAAATTTAGGACAATGTTTTTCCTCTAATTTTTATGTTTTTCAAACTTTATTGGCCAATGCAACTCACAATTTCAATTTATAAATTATCACTTAATACTTTTAAGTTTGCATTTGGAATTACTTTATTTGGAATTACTTTATTCCACATTTGTTTTCTTTTTTTTTTTTAGGAAATTGATATACTAAGAGCTTTAAATTTTCAGACTTCTTTTTTGTGGATAAATAATTAATAAAGCATTAAATACAACACTTTTTACCTTTTTTTTTTTTGTTTTAATATCACTGAAATGGTGACCATAGTTAAGCGTAGTTTAGAATAGGCCACTTGTCAGATATGCTGTTTGCATGTTGGTAAGACTTGCAGTATATAGGTGATGAAAATATATATGTATAGATGGCGCAGATGAGGTTTTGCCTACAATTAAACTTCATGTTTAATTGTTGGCAAAAGTAGGTTTGTTTAAATGATAATAATTGCTTTAAATGATAATCTTTGTAGTGATACAATAAAATATGCAAAAATACGAAGAAAAAAAATGCAAATATACAAATATGCCAAATATGCAAAAATACAATAAAAATATTAAAAAAGTACAATAAAAATATACAAAACGTTAACAAAATAAAAATATATATGTAAAAGGTTAACATGTCACTATGAGTAAATAAAACATTTCATTTCAGTATTAAATATTACCATTGCATCGTAGTTATCGTGATTCATAAAAGTTGCAGCTTCAATACCTTTGTATATTCCAAACCATGATGTTCCTTGAAATTGATCTCCACCATCAAGTAAAATTGTATTGATTGAGTTTTTTCTGATTGTTTTTATCATCTAAAAGATTTTTTTAATTTAAAATAAAACTCAATATTTTTTCCTTTAAATTTTAGTTTTTGCAATGTTAAATAAAAAATTGAAAATCAAAAAAAATATTACAAAATTTTATATAGAAAATCAATCATATTCAATAATGCCAAAAACATGTAAAGTCAATAATACCAATAACATGAAAATCAATCAATAATACCAATAACATGTAAAATATTCAATAATACCAAACACATGTAAAGTTTCAAAATCAATGGTTGAAATTGTAATAATACATTTTGAGAATTTAACATTGCAAAAACTTCAACTTAAAGGGAAATTCATATATGAAAACTCTAAAATCGATATGTGTAATTTATATAAATTTTAAATACATATGGGTGGATATATTATCATTTAAAGAAATTTTAAGTTGCTAAAGATGGTAATAAAACATAATCCAGTCATCAACTATAAAATGTCCAACATAAAATAGTTAATGCAATATTATTAATTCCTTAAAATATGCAAACATCTGAACTAACTTATAGAGAAAGAGAGCCTGGACCTAAACTAGGGTTACAAACAAGGTAGAAACAAATGTGTGCTAGGCCAGGATCCCACATCAATGACAAAAACTAAAAATTAAGATTAAACCTTTACAGAAAAATGTTGCATTCACTCAGAACAGTACAAAAATCAAAGGCTTAAAGTAAAAGATCATATTCTTGAAAAATAAATTAAGAAACAAGACTATTTAGGTGGAATAATTACTGAAAAGTGTTGAGTCTTAATGCCAGTACAAATTGTATTCAGTATGATAATTATTGCTTGTGTAATAATGCAATAATGTTAAGATTATCCATTTGTTTATAAAATTATCCATTTGTGTGACTTTTAACAATTTAGTTATATGGTAAATCGGGTAATAATTAGAAATTTAACATTGTAACATATAGAGAGGGTGCATAAAGGTGTGCGCAGGATACCCTATTAAAAAGACACTTTTCCATTTCAAAAATATAAACATTGCTACAATAGACTAACAAAGTATCAAGAGAAATTCTTATAACTAACTGCGATATAATATATCACACACATAATGAAAAGTTTTATATGTGCGATATACTATATCGCATGTACTATATCGCGATATACTATATCGCATATGATATACAACTGTAAGTTGTATGCATACAACTTACAGTTGTATATCATACACAACTTACTTGTCACTTAAGTTTGATGACGAGGCATTTTCCCTAATAACTTCAATTCTCCTGATTGTTTTTGATTTTTTCATAGATATTGAATCTCCTGACTTCTCCCTGATTTCCTAGTTCTGGCAGACACCCTCTGTGTGTGTGTGCGTGCAGATGTACTATAGTACTTATATATAGTACTTTTGTTACCTAATTACAATTTACAATTTGATGTTGGCGCGGGAGACAGAGGGGTCCATTGATTGTTTTTATTTATATTTATTTTACATATATAGTATTCATATTAGCAATATTTGACTTATATCATAAATTGATATTGTAAACCTAGATATTTTAGAATAAAAATATAGTTAAAAAATTTGTACATTTAAAAGAAATTACTTTAATAAAACGATTTTTAGTAAATATTAAAATAAGACTTGGATTTTATATTTGATTTAGAAATAAAATGGAGGAAAAAAATAAAGGTTTCATCTAGTATTTCATATCATATTCATAATAAGAATTAGATGTGAAAATCTTTATGTATAACTTAAATATTTCTTTCGCTGTTTTAGACGCCCAAAGTTGTAGTGCAGCCGACAACATCAGTTAGTTACTTTCTGTATTCAATAGCTTAGTAGTTATTAAATAGATGCTATTATAATATATGTTCTATATATGTTCTATATATGTTCTATATATATATATATATATATATATATATATATATATATATATATATATATATATATATATATATATATATATATATATATATATATATATATATATATATATATATATATATATATATATATATATATATATATATATATATATATATATATATATATATATATATATATATATATATATATATATATATATATATATAGAACATATATAAATGTCATTAGTTTTCTAATACAGTTCTTTATTAAGCCTGTGTAGATTGTTGTCTAACAATATTATTTCTTGTTAGTTGTATTTTTGTATACTTAATACTTACATTTTTTTAAGTCACTCTTTTTTTTCTGTAGACAATTTAGAACAAACAATCAGTAAGTTAAGTTTGAATTGTTTTAGTTACTATATTATTTAAAGTATTTGTATGCTGTGTTAGTATTCCTTGTTGAAGAAATGTTTTGATTTAAAAATTTAATTTAAAAGATTTAAGTTTAAGAGAAAAGATTATTATTATTAATGAGATTTGCCAAAGACAAAAAATCAAGCACCAAAAATGGATGAAAAAGAAAAAAGAAAGTTAGAGCGTGAACTATCCAAATTGAGTTTTAACGAAATTATTAATTCTTATTGCTTGTCCAATGACCAACTATTTGATTTAGAAGATGTCATGTCAGATAGAATTGTTCGGAAGAAACTAGAACATGAATGGTACAATCCAAAAACATGCAAAATTGTTTTATATAGCGAAAGAGTAGAAAAAGTTAATAAAAGAAAAAATAATTTTATTTACACCATTTCTTACTGGAAAGATGATGAAACTGATATTGGAGCTGTTGACTATTGCATGAAAAAGATTCAGCTTGCTGATGATGCTGTTTCCAGTGAGTTACAATTTAATTAATTTAATAACACTGCAAGTGTTATGACTTGTCAAAATATGTTGCAAGTGTTGTGACTTGCATAAATAATACAGCAAGTGTTGTGACTTGCAAGAATACAGCAAGTGCTGTGACTTGCATAAATAATACAGCAAGTGTTGTGGCCAGCTAAAAAGTATAGCAAGTATTGTGACTTGCATAATTAATAAAGCAAGTGTTGTAACTTGTATAAATAATGCAGCAAGTGTTGTGACTTACATAAATAATACAGCAAGTATTGAGATTTGTTAAATTTTATGATAGACGGCTCTGGCCGTCTATCATAGAATATTATCATATCAAATTTATAATTTATTTATTTATCAACTTATAATTTATTAAATTATAATTTATTATTTATCAACTTATAATTTATTAAATTAAAAGTTTATAATAAGTATTATTAATACTGCAATACTATATTTTAACAAAAATATTAAAATTGCTATATAGTATTATTACAATATTATACTATTATTATAATACTGCAATATTATATAGTATTAATACTGCAATACTATATTGTAAAGAATAGCTATATTTTAACAAAATTAATAAAATTTAAAATATTTTTAAAAAATTCATTTTACCGTGTGTCTCCTCGCTACACCACCAAAACATTTTTTTAAAGTAATGTTTTCATCCTCACATCTCCCACCAAAAGCATTAAGTTCTTCAATTCTAGAGTGTACATCATTTGTGTGCAAAACAGTGATGTTGAAATCAGTTAGAACGACCTCTACCGTTAAAATAATTTGGATTAATGATATCTTTATCATTTTTAGCTAAAAGTAAACAAAAAAAAATAACCGTATCGATAATCGAGAGAACGTATCGCGCGATCGTATCGTGCGTACTTTTTCTATTTGATCAGTGGTTCCCAACCAGTGGTCCATGGACCCCAGAGGGTCCATAAGAATTTTTTATGCGGACCACAAGGTAAATGTAAATTATAAATATTAGATGTGCTCTATCAAAAACTAAATCAAACTTTCAGATATTATTTGCTGGTAAGCAGTGCCAGAATTCACATTGACCTGTTTTTGTATCATATATTAACTAAGATTAAGTATTTTTGTGTCACTGGTGGCCTAGTCTATTCAAAAATACCTTAAATAAAATATTATATTGTTGAATAAAAATTTCATTTTTAAAATGTTCAACTTTGTAATAATTTTCGAAAGCAAAGGGGTCCATGAAGATTTTAAGATATATAGTTTGGGGAACGGTTTAGAAAAGGTTGGGAACCACTGTATTTGATGAATATATTTAAATGCTAGGGGGCAGGAAGAGCAACCAATTAAGGAGCTTTTGCAAACTTAAGAAGCTATTTTTTTCATTTTATTCCTAATAAAAGATTTTTTAGGATTTTTTGGTCTTATTGACAGATTTTTGGGGCTTCCGTTCTACAAGTTGCGACATTGATTTATAGATTTACAGCAATTCCATGACACGCGCTATTGCGTTTTTAATCGAGAAAAGAAAAGTTTGCGGTATTTAATTGTAAAATAAAAAATAAACTTTATTATAATATTGAAACAGCCTAACTGTATTATAAAAACTTAACTTTTTATAACTTTTTTTATATTTTTACAGATATAGCTAAAAATACGCGCGTGACATCGATTTGTCACGATTTTACAATACCTATGTGTATAATAAAATATTTTATTATACACATAGATATTGTAAAATTGTATTTCCTCGATAAAAGAAAAACATCGAGGCATGCGGAATTGCTGTTTATAATAAATTTTACACCTATTAAATAGCCTTAAACAACTCTTAGTTCTTTTTTGTATCATATGATTTTTAACGTTCTTACAACATTGGAAATTGTATAATTTTTTAATTTTCCAAAAACGACTAAAGTAGTCAGCCAAAATAATTTGATTATTTGAGTGAAAAAAATCAGTTTCTACGATTTAAAATAGCAGATTTAGTATATTACCTCACATCATTACTTCCTTATTTTTTTCTCAAGTTTGACGCCCACGTAATAAAAACACTTTCTCTCGCTCTCATTTTGCCATTTTCATCCCCATGTGTACTTCAGTTTTGAGTTATGGCTTTATGCGGTTTTGATTTATGGCTTATTTGATTATCTGAATTATGGCTTATTTGAGTTATGACTTATTCGATTGATTAGCGTTAATTATTCGATTGCATGTGCGTTAGTTTTTCTTCAAATGATCAATAAGAGTTTACTGATCGTTATGTTATTTGCTATTAGATTTAAAGAATGTCTTTGAGAGCATTTATTTTATTTCTTTGAGATTTTTTGTGAGGCTGAACAGTTTGCGTAGACCATATGCACTTGAACAATGTTTTTACCTTCTGGAACTTTTTATTTTATATAATACTCCAACATCAGCTTTACAAGTACCTGCATTAAATGTATGAGAATAGGGAGAAGTATGCCTAAAAATTTCAATTAGGAAAGGTCCCTTATGTGATGTAAGATACACAACAAAATTTTCTCAAATTATTAAGCAGACATCGCTTTGTTTTACAGCGTGTTGTAAAAACCAGCATTTTTCAAATGTATCACCAGAGAGTAATTTTTGAGGGGTAAAGTACGACAAAGAAAATTAATTGATCTTTTTACTTCTTCTCCATTCGTAAATATATTCTGGTAACCTCTAAAATATGTAAGTTACTTTTGTATAAATGTGGAAAAAATTTTTGACGAATAAACAGTTTTTGATTAATCATATACAATTACGACTTTTTAAAAAGTAATTTTTGTTAATATTTCGTTAATAACTCGCTTGTCCAACTTCACCCCAATTACGCAGTTTATCTATGCGCCGATAATCCTATGCACAGTGGTTAGAACGCATGCTTTATGAGCAGGAGATCCTTGCTTTATAAGCAGGAGATCCAAACAAGCCTTGGACACTTTCGCGGTGCTCTGTGAGAAGACCGTTAGGTCTTCTTGGGGCACCTAAATAAAAATTAAAAAAAAAAAAATTCAAGTGTACAATATTAAAACCTGCGGTCAATCAATAAATGCCCGAAATAAAATTCTTTATTTTTAAATTATTTAAAATATTTTTTTTTTTAAGATATTGAAAACTGTTTGGCTTAGTCCTTTTTTTGTGTGTGTTAGGTCTTATGGTGTTCTAAGAAGACCTATCGGTCCTATCACAGAGCACCACGGAAAAGCATTTAACTAGAAAAATCTCTCTCGTTATCAATGTCGATTATTTGGCTAGAGCCAGCGTTAAACTACCAACCTCTTGGTTTTAACTACTGAGTGAGGGCTGTATACATTAGTTCATACACGGCTGTCACGGCACCCCACGGCTGCATACATTTCATAAATTATAAAAAAGATATTAAAATTATTCTGGAACCTTTTTTTAAAGTCCTACTTTTAACGTCATACACGTCATCCTAAACCTAACGATGTGTTTTTAATTTTGATATAGAGCTATGTTTATCCAGTGAAATCTGCAAATAATTATTGCATTCAGCTTTCTAGAATTGTTTTAAATTCCATTTTCTCAAAAACTACCTAATTAATTGTAACAGTTTTATTTTACATGTATACATGTTTAGTTTTTATTTCAACAAAAAAAATCAATTCTTAATTTTACTAACTAAAATTTTCTGTAAAGTATTAAGGTTAAATTTGACTTTTTGTCACTTTTTTTACAGCTTTAATTCATAATCTCTTGTTTTTTCAAAACTATTTTTGCATTTCCTTTTTTTTCTAAAAATTGCTTATAATTGTCCTGTAAGATTTGCTGTTTAGGAACAGTTTGGATGATTTGCATTCTTTGGAACAACATTGACTATATTCATTACTTTTTTGTAATAATGAATTGATGCAAGATCCGGCCAAAATAAATTCGGCCCTATACGTTTTATTAATTATAAAGAAAATTCGTAATTTCAAGCATCACTTGATCTGATGTCAAAATTGTTTTTATTTCGTCATGAACATTTTTTTTTCTCCTATGATTTTTGTGATTTCAGATTTTAATTTTTCAGTGCTCTTTGAATAAAAAGTCTCGAGGAGCTTTTTGAGTTAAATTTCAATGAATCAAGTCAGTATTGATTTCTCCTTTTTTTTATTTTTGACATTAAATTTTGATTTTTCACTAAACTTTTCACTAAACCTTCCACTAAACCTTCCACTAAACTTTCCATTAAACTTCCTGTTTTCTATTTTGCTGTTTTGTTCTCTTTATAATGTTTTCAAACAATTGCGACAGTTGATAACAATTCCAACAGTTGGTTTTATAACAATTCCAACAGATTTATTTACATGCTTATGACATTGTTGAATATAAGCGCAAGGGATTTTTTATATAAAATTTCAAAAATATTTTCGAATTTCAGACTCCTTACTTAACATTGCAAGAATTAATCAGATTTAAAAAAAAACTTCACGCACAAAAACTACTCATACTTGCATCATTTAAAAAAATCATTAAAATTGATTAAATGATTTTGAAAGAAAACTCAATTTAAAGTTTTCAAAATAATGATAGCTAGATAACTTGCAACTCTTGAAAAGTTTTCAAGTTCTTATCTTCATATATTTTTAAAATTTTCGGCCTATAGAACTTTACTAACTTTTAAAAAATTTTTGGTAGTTTATTATCGTTGTTGTTTCCAGTATTAAGATAAATTTATCACCATATGGTGATAAACTTATCTCAGTTGTTATATCAATGGTTATGTAACCAAATACTTTGATGCTTGTATAAGTGAGATTATCGTAATCCAGTACTGTTTTTTCCAGTATATATAGGATACTGATTTTTGTTTGATGCTTGTACAAAAGATCTTAAAAAATGTCAGATGCTACTACTTCATTACAACATTTCTATAAGTTGTTTTTGGCGTCTAATATAAATCAAACAATAATAATTTATTTGCGCATTGTTGTAATATAACCATATCTATATATTATATACAAAATATTCTTTTGTTTATTTTACGTGGAAATAAATGTGTTAAAAGTCATATTTTTTTTGAAAACTGCTAAAAAATAAAATTTAAACTAGTTATAAATAAAAATAAACTTAATTGTCAATGAAAAACTGCAGCGAATAAAAGCGATCAAAGTGAATCCAATGTTATTAGCGAAAAAATAAAAATTTAAAGTTTGTTTATAAAGGATCACTATACTTAAAAAAATCTGTTTAATGAAAAATAATTTGAAAGGTTTTCAATTATTTTAGACAGTTTTGCTTTATATAATTATGGATATGTGATAATTTTAACTGTAATAATTGTAACGTTTTCTCTTTAACAAAAAGTTTAAGGGCAATTCCACGCCAAGTGAGTTATTTCGATAAAATTAATAAATAAATTCAAACAAAAACCAACTAATCATTGGGTTGCCATATGTTTTAAAAATTTAAATTTTGAATAATAATGTCGTTTGGGTTGTTTTTATTTATTTTAAATATCGAATTAAAGTCATGCGTCATACTTTCTATATGAATGGTAGCTAAAGTACATTTTGATAAAAGCGTAGAACTGTCCCGATAAGTAACGATAACTAATTTGTTTTAAAATATATAAATAAATAGCTAAAACAATCTTTTGAATAACTTTACACAGAATAATAACGACTTATTTTGATTTGAGAACCCAGTTTATGTAGATTAAATATTTGGCTTGAAATATTCAAGTGAAAACAACAGGTTTAATGTAATGTTTTTTTGTGTCTCGTAAGTAACACAGCATATAAACAACTATAATTCCTAAACTTACATTAATTGAACAAAATTTCAATATACATGAAAACAAATAAATGATTTTG